ATCGCGGCGGGTTTTTTTTTTTTTTTTTTTTTTCCCTGCCTTGCGATAAGCTCGACGTTTGAGCGGGCTGGAGTGGAAATTTTGTATGGCTTCAACTTTTAACCGGAGCTTGCCTGCCATACAAAACCGCTCATTTCCACCGTGTATGGTGTCGGGAAATTGCCGGTGGCCATCAGTCACAGCTTTCTAGGTCCCTTCTAACAGAGACCTCTTCGCCGACGACCCAATTATACCGCGAACAATTCTGAAATCGTGAACGTAGTGCAGTCCTGTTGCTGCACATTTAACAAGCCGCCGCAATGGCTCCATCGGCGACGAGTACAAAATGGGATCACCAATATAACACCCTGCGGCGTCAAGACCTCTTCCAGAACCCACCAAAAGACCACTCTGCGTATCCCGCTCTTCAGTTAGCCGTGAACCCGCACATCGAGTCTTTCAATCGCATTTTCGGAGATGATGGCAAGAAAGGGCTTCTTGACTACGGATTGACGGATATTGGTACCAAGACATTTCTCGACGGTGATGAAAGATCCGGCCCCGAGGGAAAGAATCGTCTTCATATCCGAATCAAGAATGTGAGCCTGCAAAAGCCCCAGATTCCTCCGTCTAACAAGATGGCACGAAACCGAGAAATTCTACCCGCCGAGTGCAGAGAACGGCATGTCTCGTATAGAGGAAGACTTTCGGCCACATTCGAATACTCCATTAATGGTGGAGATCCTATTGAGTTTGTACGAGAACTAGGACAGGTCCCCATCATGATCAAGGTATGGCGATTCAATGTCACGACGCAAAGCTTTAATATCTAACGTCTTTTATGTTGCAGTCCAATCGATGCCATCTAGAAAACAATTCTCCTGCTCAACTCGTTGAGCGAAAGGAGGAATCTGAGGAACTTGGAGGTTATTTCATTGTCAACGGCATTGAGAAAATTATTAGATTACTACAAGTCAACAAGCGAAACTTTCCAATGGCCATCAATCGACCTAGTTTTCAAAACCGAGGCGCGGGTTATACCTCGTACGGTATTATTGTTCGATCCGTCCGACCCGACGAGACTTCTCAGACCAATGTCCTTCATTACCTCAATGACGGTAACATTACGTTTCGATTCTCATGGCGCAAGAACGAGTACTTGATTCCCGTCATCATGATCCTTAAAGCATTGGTGGAGACAAATGACCGAGAAATTTTTGAGGGATTGATTGGACCCATGGGATCAAAAGCAACCGAGAATACTTTCTTGACGGATCGAGTGGAATTGCTGCTACGAACGTACAAGAGATATGGACTCTACAGCAAATCGCAGACCAGAGCGTATCTAGGAGAAAAGTTTAGGGTTGTGCTTGGCGTTCCAGAAACAATGTCCGACTATGAAGTTGGTACAGAGTTTTTGAGAAGGATTGTTCTGGTACACCTGGGCAATGTGAACGTGGCTGAGGAACAGGATCTTGACAAGTTTCGAATGCTGCTGTTCATGGTCCGCAAGCTGTATGCCCTGGCAGCTGGCGAGTGCGCCGTTGACAACCCCGACGCTCTTCAAAACCAGGAAATCCTGCTGGGTGGCTTCTTATACAGCCAGATTCTCAAGGAACGCCTCGACGAATTCGTGAGCGTTGGCGTTCGCTCATCTCTGCGTGATTTCCTCCGGCGACACCCCCAAGTTTCTTTCACGTCCGAGGATTTCAGAAAGGAGTTCCCAGGCACGATTTTCAGAAAGGCGAATGAAAACTTGGGCAATGCGCTTGAATATTTCTTATCCACCGGAAACCTGCAAAGTCCTTCAGGATTGGACCTGCAGCAAACAGCTGGTTTTACTGTTGTGGCCGAAAAACTCAACTTCCTCCGATTCATCAGTCATTTCCGCATGGTTCATCGTGGCGCCTTCTTTGCTCAGCTGAAGACCACTGCTGTGCGAAAGCTGCTCCCCGAGTCGTGGGGTTTCATGTGCCCCGTCCACACGCCTGACGGTTCACCTTGTGGTTTGCTGAACCATTTGGCCCACAAGTGCAAGATCGTGACGGACCACGTCGACGTATCTAAACTTCCTGCGCTTGCTAGAGAACTTGGTGTTGTCGACACATCATCCGCCCTCACAAGTGAAAATGTCGTCGTCATGATGGATGGCAAGATTCTCGGCTGGTGCTCACCAAAGGAGTCTCTTAGGATAGCCGACTGTCTGCGATACTGGAAAGTCGAGGGTACGCACGGCGTGCCACTGCAATTGGAGATTGGATACGTCCCTGCGTCCAACGGGGGTTCATACCCCGGTGTCTACATTACGTCGACCCCGGCACGGATGGTACGGCCGGTGAAATATCTCCCTCTCCAAAAGGAAGATTTTGTCGGACCCTATGAGCAGCCATACATGTCCATCGCCGTTGTGCCGCAAGAAACTGAATCCGGCGTGTCTACTCATGTCGAGTTCGACCCCACAAATATGCTGTCCATCTTGGCCAACATGACGCCCTTTTCTGATTTCAACCAGTCTCCCCGAAACATGTACCAGTGTCAGATGGGTAAGCAGACGATGGGTACCCCCGGCACCGCCATCAGATACCGGACAGACAACAAGTCGTACAGGATTCAGACTGGACAGACGCCCATTGTCCGCGCGCCCTTGCACAACGATTATGGTTTTGACAACTTTCCCAACGGTATGAATGCTGTTGTTGCTGTCATCTCGTACACCGGCTACGACATGGACGACGCCATGATATTGAACAAGTCGGCGCACGAGAGAGGTTTTGGACACGGAACCATTTACAAGACCAAGAAGATTACCCTCAAGGATGATTCGAGAACCCGCGCGGCAAAGAGTGTCACCAAGGCTTTCGGATTCGCGCCTCACAGCTATGTCAGCGCCTCGTACCAAGGCATGCTGGACGACGACGGCCTCCCTCACGTCGGGCGTCTTGTCCAAGAAGGCGACGTCATTTGTGCGTGGCACACTGTGACCCCCGACTACAACGGCAACCTCGTCAACCTGGACGGCATCACCCACTACGAAAAGTACAAGGACGGCGAGACGGGCTTCGTCGAGGAGGTTCGTCTCATCGGCGCGGAGACGGGCAGCGAAACCCTGCAAACAGTCTCCATCAAGTTCCGCATCCCGCGATCACCCATCATCGGCGACAAGTTCTCCTCCCGCCACGGTCAAAAGGGTGTCGCTTCCCAGAAATGGCCCGCCATTGACATGCCCTTCTCCGAATCCGGCATCCAGCCCGACGTCATCATCAACCCGCACGCCTTCCCGTCCCGAATGACCATTGGCATGTTTGTCGAGTCTCTGGCCGGCAAAGCCGGCGCGCTCCACGGCCTGGCCCAGGACTCGACGCCGTTCAAGTTTGACGAAGAAGACACGGCGGTCGACTACTTTGGCCACCAGCTCATGAAAGCCGGGTACAGCTACCACGGCAACGAACCCATGTACTCGGGCATCACGGGCGAGGAGCTGGGCGCCGACATCTACATCGGCGTCGTCTACTACCAGCGCCTGCGTCACATGGTCAACGACAAGTTCCAGGTGCGAACAACTGGCCCCGTCGTGCCCACGACGGGCCAGCCCATCAAGGGCAGAAAACGCGGCGGCGGCATCCGTGTCGGCGAAATGGAGCGCGACGCCCTGCTTGCCCACGGCACGGCCTTCCTGCTCCAGGACCGACTGCTCAACTGCTCCGACTACACCAAGTCGTGGATCTGCCGCCGCTGCGGCTCGTTCCTGTCCGTGCAGCCGACGGTCTCGCAGTTTGCGCCGGGCAAGAAGCGGGCCCCGACCACGGTGCGCTGCCGCAACTGCGCCACCAGGCTTGACGAGACGGACGGCGTCGACCTCACCGAGATTCAGGGCGAGATCTGGGAAGACGGCCAGGGCAACCGCTGGGTGGGCGGCGACCACACGACGCAGGTCGTGGTCCCCGGGGCGCTCAAGTACCTGGATGTCGAGCTGGCAGCCATGGGCGTCAAGCTCAAGTACAGGGTCAACAGGGGGGATGAACCAAGAAAGGGGCCTCTGCGGCCGATGGCCATGCCCAAGGCCATCAAGGCGTGAGGCAGGCAGGGGTCAAGACGCGGTGAGGAATTAAAAAGAGCAAGTACACGGTTCGGATTGTTGATCTTTGGCATAGCTGCATACCCCCTGTACTGTACATATATACTAGGATTCAATGCCATTTACAAGAAATTTTTCCCCGTCGGCGACGCGGTTCCGTCTCTGGGAACCCCCAACACCAGCCATGTCCTGTCGCCGGCAAGAGTTGCCAAAAAGAAAAGAAGAAAAAGGGCACGTATATACTGTCGAACAATGTCCAAATGCACCGCCAGCCAACACGACACCTCACGTCCTCGCAAACCTCTTGATCCTCCTCGCATCAGCGACGGGCAGCTCGACCGCGCTCCTCGCCCTCTTCCTCTTGCCGCCCCCGTGCCTGGCGGCCTCGAGGTCCCCGCAGTCGGGCCTCTTCAGCTCGCCGCGGAAGAAGTCGACGGCCCAGATCAGCACGCCGTTGGTCCAGCCGAAACCCTCGACGACCTCGTACTCGCCGCCGCCGCCGGCGACGTTGGTCGACTCGTCGCTGTACTTTTCAAACATGACGCCCGTGTCCTGGTCCCCGAGCCCGTCCAGCTTGGGCGTCTCGGTGGTGCTCCCGCCGGTGGCGTACCACGTGCAAAACGCCGAGTCGAGGTACCTCTGGGCGAGGGCGAGGGCCAGGGCGCGGACGCCGCGGTAGGCCGGGTCGTCGGGGCCAAAGGTGGCGGGCGTGTTGGCCAGCCCCTTGATGAGGATGTGCATCAGGGGCGGCCACACGTTGGGCCGGTCCCACTGCTGCCCGGCCCTGAGGTTGGTCGCGGGGATGCCGCCCTTGCGGCTGCCCAGGTACGCCTCGACGCGCGCGTAGGCGGCCCGGACGGCGTGCGGGTTGTTCTTGAGGTGCGCCGGCGCCGCGCCCTGCCAGAAGGGGTAGAACTGGCCGGCGTGGAAGAGGACCTTGTGGCCCGGGGGCGCGCCGCCGCGCGTGTGGGCCTCGACGGCGTCGTCGGCGTCGTCGGCGTCGTCGTCAAGGGCGTACATGTCCTGGCCGGACGAGGTGAGGTTAAAGTCAAAGTAGCCGGCGAGGGTGTCGTTCCACATGAGGGCGTGCATGGCGGCGCTGCGGTCGGCGGCGCGACGCTCCCAGGCGGGCGCGGCCGAGGCGTTGCCGGCGCGACGGAGGAAGCCCGCGATGGCGAGCTCGTTGCCGTACAGGATCGAGTTGAGGCACACGGGCACGATGCTCCTCGCGTTCATGCTCCGCAGCGGAAAGTACACCTGGCGCGCCGAGTCGCGCGGGTTCGCGATCCAGCGCGAGCTAAAGTCCCAGCCCGTCTCGGCGCCGGTCGCCAGGTTGGCGTACAGGGCCTCGTACTCGGAGGCGTTGAGCCGCCTCGTCTCCGGGTAGATGATGCCCGACTCGGCGTGGTACGACGAGTTGCGCGCCGTCTCGTGGTCCTCGCGGTACGACTCTGGCCGCGGCTCCGTGTTGTCCACGGCGTACCGGTTCAGCCGGTACGTCTGGCCGCCCGACGAGACCTCGACGGTGCGGTTGGCCATCCAGAAGTCGTGCTCCCTGACGAGGAGGGGCAGCGCGCGCGCCAGGATGGTGGTGTCGTTTGTGTGGTCGATGTAGAGCTTGACCATCTGCGACAGCATGGGCGGCTGCGAGCGGTTGAGGTAGTAGACGCGCGCGCCGTTGGGCACGATGCCGTACTGCTCGACGAGGTCGAGGAAGTTTTCGATGGTGTTCTTGGCGATCTCGGTAAAGGACCCGCGCGTGCGCAGGAGGCCCTCGAGGATCCAGTACGAGTCCCAGTAGTACGGCTCGCGGAAGCGGGGGGCGGGGATGA